GGTACGCGATATTTGTACACACATTTTACATGTGACTCAAATTGTCGGTGTCAAATTGTGACATTTGTTAAGGACAACACTAATTTAACACAAATGAAGTTTTAAATTTAATCTTCATTCAATGTGATTAGCGTAGTACTTTCAACAATACTGGTTTTGGATTCATTTCCATTCCCCCTCCTCAATAGCATTTCGTTTGACATTCTTTCCTTATACAAGTTGTTTGCGTACACAACACTACATGAAGGAATCGTACTTTATGATGAATTGTATACAAAAATGAAGAGTTCACACAATAAGCGGCTTGTAAATACATACCTAAATCATTCATGATGTCGGTGTTCCTCTTCGAACGTCGTTTCCCATTGTTTGAGGTCGTAACAGTTATGTGTTTTATAAGAAATTAGTTGATAACGCTGATAAATTGAAAATAGGGATCACCAAATCAAACAATCCCATAAAGTATTGACGAATTTGATATGAAATTATGACTAAGCTATAAGATACGATAAATTCTACAAAAAAACACGGGCGTAGTCACGGATTTAGTCACGGACTACAGTGTAAATTTTCCGTGACTAAAAAGTTTAGTCACGGTCATTTGTCGTGACTACATCCGTGACTTAATGGGCGTCACTAAATGTAGTCACCGCCACACTAACCGTGACTACATGTAGTCACGGAATAGTCACGGACATCACCCGTGACTATTCTTATGCCGGAAACCCTACTCCGACGTCTTAGTCACGGCTGTGGACCGTGACTATTACAATTTTTTTTTATATATTAGTCACGGCTATGGACCGTGACTAAGTTTTCAAATTTTCAAAATTTGAAAAAGACCGCCCGCGGTTGCATTGATCCCTATTTTGAAATTTTAATTAGTCACGGACATTTATCCGTGACTACTTTTTTTATAAAAAAAATCGGATTAACTTTAGTCACGGATTAAGGGCCGTGACTAAATTTTTTGTTTTTAAAAAAAAAAAAATCAGTTTTTTTTTTTTAAAAAAGTTTTTAAATTTGAGATTTTTACACTTTGAACATGGACATCTTATTTTATCACCACTCATATAAGCTGGATGTTCAAGTGCGAATTCAATAAATTCTCCGACTCCATCGAGAAAATTTGATTGCATTCCGTACAATACTGCATCTTTATCATACATCCAACTTCTATTTTGTTTATACATTATGCCTGAATATTATAATAAAAAATTATACAGGTTCAAAACTAAGGTAATTAATGTAACAATAATACTACGTTTAACTAATTTTAAGTAATTTATTTCACTAAATAATCAACTAACTGATTTTGACTAAATTAAATGAAATGCACACAATTCACAATAATAATGCACAAAATATAAGTAATTATCTAATACTTAAATTTAACTAATATTATAAAAAATTTAAGTAATTTAACACTACATCTAAATTAAACCTACGTTTAACTAAATTTAACTAATTCATTTCGTTATTTAATTAACAACCTTTTTTTAAACACATTTCAATTAACTAATATTTAAATTTAATTAATATTATCAAAAGTTTAACGAATCTAACTTAATTAATTAGTTAAAACCTACGTTTAACTAATTCATTTTACTTAATGCATCACTATGTTTAAACTTACGTTTAGCTAACTAATTTAACTTAATTAACACATAACTACGTTTAAACCTACGTTTAACTAATTTTTATTAAATTATTTTGTAAACCTAAAAATTTAACTAATGTTATGACATCACCACGTTTCTAGTTAAATATGTTGCTAATTAATTAATAACCTCACTAATTTAATAGTTTTAATAATTTAAATTGAACCAACTAATTCTAAATAAAAGTAATAATTCAAATAACATACCTTATATGCATAAACAGGGAAAATGACATAAGATAGACTACATCCTTCGATATTTGAAACAGATACTGTATTATATAGTACTGGGAATGAATTGGTGTGGTTCTGTTGAATGAGTTGGTCCTGCATATATAAAAAATTTAGTCACGGACTTAGTCACGGATTTGTCCGTCACTAAGCAAAACCGTGTACATTACACGTCCAAACCGTGTAAATGACGTGCGAAGGACGAACACGGAATTTTTTTTTAGTTTAGTGACGGAAGTAGTCACAGACATGTCCGTGACTATTTTTATCCGTACAGAACGCCGTTGTGAAAATTAATTTTTTTTAGTCACGGACCGTTGTCACGGATTTGTCCGTGACTACATCGCCGGAATAAAATAAGGCACACCGGAAACGCAATCGGGGGCTGTCGGAGGATTTAAGTCACGGATCGGACTGTGACTACGTTTAGTCACGGATGTAGTCACGGCTTTGTCCGTGACTATTTTTTTTTTAAAGTCCGTGACTAGTCCGTGACTACGACCGTGACAAACTAGTCACGGTCCAAATCCGTGACTAGTGTCCGTGACTACACGCGTTTTTTTTGTAGTGAAATGAAAACCGGGTAAGCTTTATGGAAAACGTTACATATATACGAAAAGTGTGATAAGGCTTTAGAGTTTAGATTAGAGCTTAGTATGTTTAGTAATGATCAAATTGATTGAATCCATTTAAATTGGAGAATGTATTGGTGAGGTAAGTTAGCACATGTACAACATATTATTTCCTTTCTTCCACAAAAAATTGTCTCATCTTTTCTTTATCATAATTAAGACTTTCTCATACAAAACTTAGTAATGTTTGTGTGGTTCTAAATTATTTTAATTTATTCTAACTTTTTTAATGTAATATTAACTACAAATATCCACTTTGTAAGAGCCCTGCTTGGTATCACTGAAATTGGCTGAACCGGCCAATTCTGCTTAAATTTATGAAGTTCTGACTGAAGTAGCTGAATTAGCTGATTCTGCGTGTTTATGAAAAATCATGTTTAAAATATTTTTTGTAATAAAATAAATAAAAATATATATATGAAATATAGTTAACATCATAGCATGATCCTCTCTACACGCTAACCTCACCCAATACAACCAGGAAAAGTGACTTCAACCTCGCAAATTATACCGTGGTATCGGCCCACCGTGCACACGGTGTGCCGATCCAAAAACGACACCACTTTATTAAATAGAACATCAATCGATCGTTTTCCGCCGCAGCTGCTAAGTAAACCGACGCAGGCAAATTAGAGCACACCCGATTGTCTGAAATCAATATTTTAGACAAGTTACATCTCGACTTACTTGCATTGACATTACTTATTAAGGTGTGCTACATTTCTTTACACACGAGTTACATCATTCTGCTACTGGAACAATAAAAAGATAAAAACGGTTACTGTTCATGCGTGTACTGTCCTCGTGTGAAAATTTTTAATTTGGAAACTGCGTCGTTTTGAGTGCAGGAGTAGGGTGCTCACCGTGGGAAGATCCCACGGTATACGAACTCCCTTCAGCCTTATTTTTTTATTATTACACAATTCAGCGTGCGAAATAAAAAATTACTTGTTCAATTAAAAAGATGACCGATTAAACTGATAGCTAAAAACATGGTCAAAAAATGTCAATAAAGAAAACTACCGGGAACCGCCCTAAACGGCAGAGGCCGGACGGCGTGTTACCATGTTTTTATTGGTTGCTGTTTACTTTTAGGGTTTGGTGCTCTCAAGTTGGCGTGCTTTATACGGAGTGTATTACTACTGCCTAAAACAAACGAAGTGGTATTTGTCATTGAAAGATGACTAAAAGTATAAAACTGGAGTAGTCGAGAATCGCGTTTTTCAAGCAAAATAATAAAAACAAAGGAGTTCATAATATGTCATCGAAAAAATGATTACAATTGGGTTAGCCGTATTTGCAATTAATTTAATTGATCATTATACCTTGAATTAGGAAAGCATAAACTGTGCAAGTGATTATATCTTTCTTCTCAATTATTTTTAGCTAATTTGGGTTTGATTTATTTGAATTTGCAGGATAGTGAGAAACTGGAATATAATAATCTATTGAAGTACTAAAGAATTGAAGCCTAGTTATGTGCCTGGGTGGCATGGTTATAGACCGTGATGAACAATTAGTTCAAATTTAAATGTTACAAAAATTATATTGAAACAAAACAATATATCAAGCATACAAGTCTAATATAAGAACAAAAATTATACTCGTAACAGGTTTAGAAAGTTCGACAAAAAAAGAAAATAGCAAACAAGTTTAATACAAGTAGCCACGTACCCCAATTAAATTGCCCAATTAAGTATTTAAGTATATTAAGTATAACTTATAAAAGTGAGACTCTGTGGACAATTTAAGAATCATATGCTAATAACATGATTCATTAAGGACTTGACTTTATTTTATGAGCAATGGGTTACTTTCAAAAAAGTTTGCGGGCCTTAGCTCAAACCCAACTGAGACTATCGGCATCACCGGGAAATCTTCTTGGACCGGTACATGATGGAATCCCATAGTGTACCATAACACTATGTCTGTGTTATTAATTGATCTATTCCTGCAAAGCAATAAAATACCAATAATTTGATTAAAGTTGTGAATAAATTAATCTGAAAGTATACACACACAAACTTCAATGTGGCGTTAAGTGCTCAGAGCCCGTTTGGTAATATCAAAATTAACAGAATCGGTTTAATTGACTATTTCTGCTGAAATTTATGAATTTCTAGCTTGGCTAAATTGGTTGATTATGTTGATTTATGAAAAGTTGTATTTCAAATATTTGTCTTATTAATAAAATAAATAAAATATTATATGAAAATAACTAAAATGATCTGTTACAGTAATTTCAGCCAGTACAGCAAAAAACGAAATTCCAACCTTACGTTTTCTTATGAGTATGACACAATTCGACGCGCGAAATCAAAAGTTACGTACTACTAATGGGTCACGAGATATTTAGAACTATCAAATCATAAATGCACTATAAGTATTCGTATTGTTTGTACATCTGAATCCAAGTATAAAATACTCCGTATCACATTAAATTAAAGCACTGCATTAATAGAGAAAATAAAATACTCTAATTACATACCTTCGACTCCAAATGGCTAAGCCATCATCACCATGGCTTTGGTCTGCATACAATCCGCCAGCCCACTTCTCAGACGGGTTGTAAGGAGTCACCCACACCTGGTTCTTAGTATAGGATGCTCGCATCTGGGGATAATCAACGTCGGAGAGCAACGAATAAGCCGACGGTCCGGCAATCAGCTTGTAACCGACATCGTTTCCGAGCCTCGTTTTGTTGTTCGGGTTCACAATCAACAACTCGGCAGGCTCGGACTCGAGCCGAATCCGAGCATCGTGTTCCGTTTGAGCAGTCTCCTTTACCACTTTCCAGTAACTCCTCCTAGGCGAAAGGGAAGGATCTGTCACGTTCTCAGATTCGAGTTTGGCTTTAACAAATGAGTTGGAGCTGCCATCAATGTCTAAGTCGAGATAGTATGTCACAAAGTGGTCATGGTTTCCTGCAACTGTGTTTTCTGCCACAAAGGTTCCATAGACATCCCCATTTAGCGTTTGACTGCTCGCTTCGTCAACACCCTTCAAGTGAAGGACGCCGGTTAGACTTACCTGCACCCCAATTAAGGGTTTTAGCAAAGCTCGACGGAGCCGACATTTTATTCCAAACTTGACCGAAATTACATATATTTAACACTTTTAGACTTTTAGACTTTAAACATGATCGCTTTTGTCAAATGTTTTCCAAACTTGACCGAAATTACATATATTTAGGGAGTAAAAACATAAATGTCTTATTTTGGAATTTCAAAATGTAGTCCTGTTCAGGGATTCGGTACTATTATTGGTATATTCATACAGATGAACAAATAGTCGTGTATTTATGTTGAATAATCGAATCTTACTTTATACTTGTAGTCACTTTGATTGTTATATACGAATGTATTTGGTTTGTATTGGAATTCCAAAATAAGTGAATTTGCAATTTATTGAAGTAATGAAATTATATCCTTTCAAAAAAATACGTAGTAATAAAATGTGTCGATATAGGATTTGAATGATTGAAAAGTAGTAATCTGAGTCCTAAAATTCTATAAGTTTTGATTTATTTAATTTTTTATTAATTTCAAGGCTAATTTTTGATGAGTTTTTCTTCACAAAAGTTTTTTAATTTTATAAATTTAAATTATGTTTTAATTTTTAAAAAAGAAATAATAAAATTCATTAAAATTTAGTTTATTGTAATTCTAATTCACATTTTCAACTCTGGAATCAAATAAAAATTATTTGATTCTCGGCTATCCTGTGGTACAATGTCCAAGGAGGTGTATACTATTGGTATTTAGCATGCCAAATCGATCTCCAAGATAGGGAGACAAAGTCTTTGTTTGGAAAGTTGCTTGGATAAAGTCTGGAATCCCATGCATCAAGCTTTGATCTGTTTTGCTAAAGGTGAGCTAAATGTGTTTGGATAAAGTATAGAAACCACCTCTTTGTCAATTAGCGTATTATTTAAAAACGACTTTAAAGAGCATTAATTAAGCCTTTAGACTTTATACTTCTAGAGTCAAATTTACCGTTTATTGTTAACATTTTCGATCTATAACTATTTTGTAATTATGAAGTATTTGCATGTATAATTCAATAATATGGTAATAATTAATAGTAGTTAAAAGGGGATTTTCCAAAATAGAAGTAAATAGCTTTTGGAATTCTAAAATGGTAATGTTATGTTTTTTTTCCGAAATAGGAGTAACATGACAGTATTTAGTGTAATCTTCTATTCGTTATTGCCAAATAATTGCAATACAAGACATTCAATATGAAAGTATTCACTATTATAATGTTATTAATGACAATATTTTTCTATCATGACAATAATTATGACTCCTATATTTCGAGAAGAAAAAGCATTTGTATTTTGAAATTCTAATACTCCGTACTTAATTAATCCTATTTAAGACAATTTTTCTAATAGTTAGTCTACAACCCGGCCCGTTGTTACTAGCTAACTTATTATCAATCACCCAATACAATATCCTACTACCTCCGTCCCTTAAAACTTTGCCAAGTTTGACCGGCACAAGGATTAATAAAGTAAAAACTGTGTGGTTGAGATTTGTGCAGAGGAGAGAGAATTAACAGAAACCACAAATTCTTTACTTAAAATGGAAAGTGGCAAAGTTAGTGGGACATCCAAAAAAGGAAAGTTGGCAAAGTTTTAAGAGACGGAGGGAGTAGTAAAGTACTAATAAACACCTAGTTTATTCTTTTCATCTCCCGCAAAACGTTTATACTCCCTCCGATTGTAAAAGAAACTCACACTTTTCTTTTTGGGATGTTTCAAAAACAAAGTCACACTTCCCTTATTTCCTTATTTGGCAAAGAAATCTACATCCAAATAGTGTCAAACAGTGTGAAACAGTGTCCAAACAGTGCCAAACAGTGTCAAACAGTGTCTAAACCGTGTATTCTACAGTAAAGTCAATTTATTTCCTTAATAATCGTGAAGTCAAACCGTGACTTTCTTTTGGAAACGGAGGGAGTACATTGTTTACTATTTATATATGCAAATGATGTGATTAGAAAAGGTATTTCCTAATTAAAAATCCCACTCTAAAATGTTTCATAAAGAATTCTAGTGTATGGAAGAAAACGTGTACAAACTACAAACGCTATTAAGTGTTTTGTGACACAATATTTGCTCTTACCCCAATCTTGATGGAACCACTTTTTTTGAATTCCCAATCAAGCACATAATCGTAATTTCCAACTGTCGCCACCATTCTTGCTACTAGATTGACTTCCTGCTCTCCACTAGTCACCTGCAAACCCAAGAGCTGTATTAGAATGTTTTAATATGGAGAAGTTACAATCTCAAATCAATGCATAATAAATTTAACCAGATCAAAACTCATTTAATTAGACCAAAACTATGTGATACTGATCGATTTGTGCTAGAAAATAGTGACACTTTTATATTATTAGTGACTTTATATAAGAAAATGTCACTATAAAAGTGTCATTGTTAGCCAGTTTTCTACTAGTAGCAACCACATAGGGTGCGTCACTGAAATTTATTGAAGTTTATTATAGCTAATATTTACTACTTCCATTATTGAAGTTGACACATGATGTAATATTAATTTATTTGATTGTTCATAGCTCATTACGTAGGAAGGTCCCTTGCATGGGACATGCACACATGCTCTTCTCTCTCCTATTATAGATGGACTCCATATGTATGTATTATATAAGTTGGCCGAACCCGCTGCATATTATTATCAAGGAGAATTCCTCCAGTATAGTTTCTAAGCTTCTTTTGCTTATGAATAATATTCTTCCATCTTAATTTTATCATGGTATCAGAGCCGAAATCCTGAAAACAAGTTCTTCTTTCACAAACATTCCCATATTTTTTTTCTCTTTGTAACCCATGGCGCCGGTTGATGTTGAAACCAAGGCTATTGGCAGTGAGTCTGGCGATTTAGTCATAGACTCAATGTCACCTTATTTTATTCAGTCCGGGGATAAACCCGGAGATGTGTATGTCACAACGATTCTTCGCGACGGAAACTATGGTGATTGGCTCGATGAGATGAGCAACGCCCTTTATGCCAAAAATAAAATTGGCTTCGTGAATGGTGATCTTCCGATGCCGAAGGCCGATTCACCATATTTCCCATATTGGCAACGAGCAAATGCCATGGTCAAAGCTTGGTTGAATAGCAGCATGGAGGTTGATCTTAGACAAAGTGTAAAGTTCAAAACTGCTCGTGAGATTTGGACTGATTTACAAGAAAGATTTGAAAAGGAGAGTGCTCCACGGGCATATGAACTCCGATGTTCTCTTAGCACCATCAAACAAGATGGCCAATCAATTTCCGCTTATTTCAGCCGGTTGCGCCGAGTATGGGATGAGATGGTGTCCATCAACACTCAACCTAATTGTACTTGCGGTAAATGTTCCTGCAATATTTCCAAGCAGATAACTGAATCTCGTGATAGAGATCGTCTTTATGATTTTCTGATGGGTCTAGATGACATCTATGAGCATCTCAAAAATCAAATTCTGGCCACAAGACCGATCCCAGCACTCACCTCTGCTTATCATCTGATTTCAGAGAGTGAGTTACACCGGTCGATTTCATCAATCCGGAAACCAAATATGGATGGTGCTGCATTTTACACGCAAACCAAGAAGGAAATTTCTCATATTAGACGTCCAAAAGAAGGCCGATCTTGCTCGCACTGTGGAAAAACAAATCACTCTTATGATATGTGTTTTGAGCGCATTGGCTACCCATCCCACTGGAATATTAAAACTATGGAAAACAAAGTGGGTGGAGGAACCCATGCTCATCATCATGATTCACGTAACATACGTGATATGGGAGGCAGAGAGAAACATCTACAGGGAAATAACAATTATCGCAGGCACCCTCCAAGTGTGGCACACGTGGATAGTAAAAATAAAATTGATGTTGGAGTCTCTGATGAGCAATTGCAAAAAATAGCCCAAATTTTGCAGACTCAGCTACTGGACAAATCACGTGCATCCACTTCTGAGAGTCAGATAAATATGACAGGTATTTCAATCAGGGGTCGTTCTTGGATCATTGATTCCGGAGCAAGTGAACATATCATTTGTAATAATGATGGTCTCATTAACATCCAACCCCATGTTTCAACACCAACGGTAAAAATTCCTAACGGTGACTCAGCTTCTGTTCAAGCTATCGGTAGCTTATGCCTATTCAATGGCCTCCGACTACAAAGAGTCCTATATATTCCAGATTTCAAGTGCAATTTACTCTCAGTCAACCGTCTTATAAATGATTGTAACTGCACACTTACATTTTTTAATGATTTGTGTATTTTACAGGACTTACCCTCGAGGAAGCTGATTGGGGTGGGCAAATGTCGTGATGGTCTCTATTATTTAGAGTCACCAGAAAATAAGGGAGTGGCAATGTCAGTTTCTATTAATCTTGATTTGTGGCATCAGCGGCTGGGACATGCTTCAGATCAAAGGTTACATAATATTGCTAGTCTCCAAGGGTCAAAGCGATTTAACAACTTCTGTGACTCCTGCATACGAGCAAAGCAGACTCGTCTACCTTTTCCAGTCAGTATCATTAAGACAACTTGTTGTTTCGAATTAATACATTGTGATATTTGGGGTGGCTATAAGTGTGATTCTATTACCGGGGCACGTTATTTCTTGACCATAGTTGATGATTTCACAAGAGCTGTTTGGGTCTATTTAATAAAAAATAAATCTGAGGTTCCCCAAGTACTGATTCAGTTTTTTAAAATGGTTGATACCCAATTTGAAAAACGAATTAAACGAATACGAGCAGATAATGGTGTTGAATTTCAAACCAATGCTTTACTCGACTTTTACGGCCAAAATGGAATATTATTGGAAACATCGTGTACCGACACACCTCAACAAAATGGCGTTGTTGAACGCAAACACAGACACATATTAGAAGTCGCCAGGGCGCTCCGCTTCCAATCAGGTTTACCTATCAATTTTTGGGGAGAATGCATTCTTACTGCCGTCTATATTATAAATAGACTTCCCTCACCCATTATTTCCAATAAAAGTCCTTATGAAATGTTATTGGGAAAATTACCAAATTACGACCATTTACGGGTTTTTGGGTGCTTAGTGTATGCACACAATAACAAACGGAAGGATAAATTCAGTGAACGGGGGAGCCCTTGCATATTTCTTGGCTATCCGAATGGACAAAAGGCTTATCGAGTATTTGATTTGGAAAAACAAATTATTTATAGTTCACGGGACGTTACATTTTTTGAAGCCATTTTCCCGTTCAAAATACAACTCGACCCGGAGCTTAATTTGGGAGCCATGACCGATTATGTTTATCGTCAAATCGTACATCCTAATTTAGACAAACAAAATCAATCAAGCCCCTACTCATTCTGTCCAGCTTCAAGTCGATACATCTCCCGTGAACTTTCTCCACTTACGGATAGTGGGTCCCCTGCGAATAGCAGCCGTATAAACAATGAACAAGAGGTGCATGGGAGTATAAATGATAAGGGTGACTCATATGGACAGCCAGAGATGCCAAATAATGCCACGGAAGGAGACACCATGCTCCTGGAGCATGTCACATCTCTTACTCATCCACCACATGGTCTTGAGCATTCACATTTGGACTCTTCCCTTCCATCAACTCAGCGCCATAATGTGTTAACGGGTGAAATGCCTCATCACGATGATTTGAACGGTAACAAGCCGATTCACGCCATGCCGTCTGACCCACTTGCTACTCGTAATCTGGCTGAATCTACAATATCTCAAAATGAGACAAAACGCAGTACAAGACTCCGACAGCAATCAACACGTCTTACAAATTATGAAACTGACCTGCCGCCCTCCCTTACTCAATCACGATCCACTGCTAATCATGCTTCCTCTACGGTATATCCTATTTCACATTTCATTAATTATGATAAGTTTTCTCCGACTCACAAAGCTTACTTAGCTGCCATCACAACTCATGATGAGCCTAAGCATTTCTCCCATGCAGTACATGATCCATTATGGCGAGAAGCCATGCAAAAGGAAATTGATGCTCTTGAAGCAAATAATACTTGGACACTTGTTCACTTACCCCTTGGAAAAAAGGTGGTTGATTCTAAATGGGTTTATAAAATCAAATATAAACCTAATGGGGATGTGGAACGCTACAAGGCTAGACTTGTTGCTAAAGGTTATACCCAGGTTGAAGGTGTTGACTTCCACGAAACTTTTGCACCAGTTGCCAAACTTGTTACAGTACGGTGTTTGCTAGCCATTGCTGCCAAACGCGATTGGATTGTCCACCAATTAGACGTAAATAATGCCTTCCTACATGGTGATCTTTCTGAGGATGTCTATATGCGTTTACCACAAGGGTTCATCAAGAAAGGTGATACGCGTGTTTGTAAGCTACGCAAATCACTATATGGTCTCAAACAGGCCTCTCGTAATTGGTATCACAAATTCACCGAGGCATTAATCAGTATTAATTTTCGTCCATCACGGGCAGATCACTCCCTTTTTATTTTTCAAAAGGGACCTATTAATACGTTTGCTCTAATATATGTGGACGATGTGATTTTAGCAGGGGATGATCTTGATCACATCAATACTGTCAAGGAATTTTTAAACACCAAGTTTAGTATAAAAGACTTGGGAAAATTAAAATATTTTCTTGGCATTGAAGTTGCTCGTTCTTCAGAAGGCTTTGTACTGAGTCAGCGCAAATACACTCTTGATATTTTAGCTGAAAGTGGCACTCTCGCCAGCCGGCCTAGCCTGTTTCCAATGGAGCAGAATTTAAAACTTCTTCCTGACGATGGTAGTCCACTGGTGGACGCTGCTTCCTATCGCCGCTTAATCGGGCGTTTATTATATCTCACTGTCACACGTCCTGACATAGTCTACTCAGTGAGCCAGCTCAGCCAATTTCTCAGTGCTCCACGACAGTCTCATCTTGATGCTTCTATTCGTGTTCTTCGTTATTTAAAGCAGACGCCAGGCCAAGGCATTTATCTCTCATCTGATAATGACTTAACACTGACAGGTTTTTGTGATGCTGACTGGGCGGGATGCTCTTTCACTCGTCGCTCTAGTACAGGTTATTTTATTACTATTGGAGCATCACCTATCTCATGGCGGACAAAGAAACAATCTGTCGTTTCTCGTTCCTCCGCAGAAGCTGAATATCGTGCTATGGCAGTCACAGTGAGCGAGATATTATGGTTACGATGGCTACTACAGGAACTCACGGTTCCTCAGAGGGATCCCACACCGCTTTACTGTGACAACCAGGCGGCACGCCATATTGCTCTCAATCCTGTCTTCCATGAACGTACCAAGCATGTCGAAATGGATTGTTATTTTGTACGCGAAAGAGTCACTAGTAATGAAATTCAGCCACAATACATTTCCACATTGAATCAAGTGGCCGACATATTTACCAAACCGCTTGGAGCAGATCGGTTTCATTTCTTACGACGCAAGTTGGGTGTTCGAGATCTTCACACTCCACCTTGAGGGGGAGTATTGAAGTTTATTATAGCTAATATTTACTACTTCCATTATTGAAGTTGACACATGATGTAATATTAATTTATTTGATTGTTCATAGCTCATTACGTAGGAAGGTCCCTTGCATGGGACATGCACACATGCTCTTCTCTCTCCTATTATAGATGGACTCCATATGTATGTATTATATAAGTTGGCCGAACCCGCTGCATATTATTATCAAGGAGAATTCCTCCAGTATAGTTTCTAAGCTTCTTTTGCTTATGAATAATATTCTTCCATCTTAATTTTATCAAAATTGAAGAGCGGCTCGGCACATTGATGACCCTGCAAATTGTGGATTAGGGAAAGGTCCCATGACAAGGGTGTATAAGGATGTTTTTACTTGGACTGAAATTTGCTGGTTTGGTCTGGCCTGATCTGGTCTGAACTGTCTGGTCTAGTAAATGTTTGGTCTCTGTGTATTTTATAGCTATTCAAGTCTGGTCTTCTCTGAACTAGTCTGGTCTGATATGATCTATTCTGGTCTAATTTGGAACTGAAAACAGTCCAAGTAAAAACATCCTAAGGAAGGAATATTCCATTATAAAAAAGGATGACACCTCCTTCCTGAGGCCCCCAACACCGACCATTATAAATAGATGAGGATGTAAGTTGAACTTTGATCGCGGATAGATAGTGAGACTTTGACCCTGATACTTGTAGAAGCCAGAATTCCTTTGTGTGTTTGATAGAAGACCGCTTTGAGAACTTGAACCCGTGACCTCTTTATCACACACAAATTAAACACCGACAGTTGAGATAAATTGAACAAGGATAATTATATTACCACATCTCCTCGGATCCCAACGTTTGTGTGTCTCCAAGAAACTTGCCCAGTATAACGTTCAAAAATACAAGTAGCATTACGGACAAGCACTGATTGACCATTTGTTCCAGCCATGTAGCCGTCAATATAAACGGCGTTAGCCGGACAGTCCAGCAATGGAACAAGAGAGCTAGCAGAGACTCCAAACCCGTATTCACCGACATCCATATACGTCTTGTAATACTCCTCAGGTGTGGGGTCCATGTACGGAACAAATGTTTCTGACACAAACCCTCTGTAGAGCACACGCCTAGGGCGCTGTTTGGCAGAGTCGAATACAGAAGCTGTCGATATAACTAAGCCCGAACGGGCGTTGAACGAAACGTGGAACTCCCAGTTCGCCCATTTCACCACACTCCCATTTATTTGGATGTTTGATTTGGTTCCATTACAAGTTTTGGGCGAATCATGGGCGTTTGACGACTCGGCTGTGTTTTCGGATGGGGGCATTTTTGACATTCCGCTGTCTGTGTAGTTGACCACCGTCATGGATTCAACGTCTACTAACGCCGTTATTCCCGCGATTGGCCTGGTCCAGTAATTTGTGGTTCCCTCCCGTGAATAACAAGAACTCTTCAGAACTCTTCTACCTCCATTCTCTCCATACCAACCTATCGTTAATTAATAATTCAAACTCTGTCAAATCGAATACTTACGAAAATAAAACAAAATCATACGCAGTAATATAATACCGTGTCCTATTTTTATTTTATTTACATCTAGATTCAGACCATATCATATTAATAAAGTTTCAAAACCGGTTAATTTCAATAAAAATTTCACAAATAAGCTTAAACATACCATACCTTTTTAAATAGAACTATCATTGTGTTTTAAAATTATGGACTCACTCAATTGTGAGCCAGTGGCCTATCCCCAAATTTTAGTTAACATATGTGGATCAAATATGCAAATATTATGATACAATTTATCAGAAGTACGTATTAATGATGTTTTTTAAAAATATTATTGAAATAAAAATTATTTACAAAAGTATGACTCAAGTTGTTATGGGTATAATGTTATAGTGATTTAAGTGTAAAAATTGAACATAGTTATTATGAGTGAAGTTAATTAATACTATAGTAATTTTATTAAAAAGGCACATTTTGCAAACATCTTTTATTTATCAGATTATAAATATTTGATTATTTCAATAATGTTACTTTGAATATTTATAGTTCATTAAACATAAAATAAAAAAATAAATGTATAATGCGCAACATAAGATTTATTTATTATTTATTTTTTATTTTCTTCTCTTTATTTTGTATTTTTGTTGTACTGAGATTTTAAAATTTTAAAACATCACTACAAAAAAAATACGGGATTGACAGAGATTTTTTGTAGGGATTTCCCAAAAATATTAGCAGAGATTTTGGCAAGGATATGCCAAATCTGTGCCAAAAACAGTTTTGCACGAGTTATTTGACACGAAATTAGCGGTAAGTCCGTGACAATCCTGTCATTTTTTTTTGCAGTGCATAGACTTTTTTCGATTGATCATAGATCGTGAGCTTTTACCATTCACTTACATGTTTTCTGTTTACAAATATGATTTCCTTTATTAGTGCAAGATGAAAATGGCTTAGTTTGTTAAGAAAAGCAAACAAAAATGATAGTAGAGTTGACTTATTAAGTGGGATGAAAAAAGTTCGATTTTTAATATTCCAATATTGGTGATAATTTTGAAAGTATAGGTGTGCATTTTTCACAGCTCACTAAACTCTCTCCGGAAATTATATACCTGTTGTGACAGGAATGCATGTGACTTGTGATATATTCAATCCCCTTTGCGTGATCGATTCTTGAAACTGGGGATAAGTCAAGGTCAGCCTACTGGCGCTAACGACTTCATCTGCAGTGAACGGTGGAAACCCATGGCCGCCATGCACTTCATTTGAGACGATGGAGCCCGCGATCAAGTCCACAACAATTTCGCGAGTCTCGTTATTCGCCCGGACCACGGCCCGGGCTTTTCTGTAGGGCAAAGATTTGGGCTGGGAGGATGATGATAACAAGTCGATCACGTCGTTTTTCTCCGGTTCTTCAAGATCAACATAATGAAATGTCGCGCTAGGGTGTAACCCGAGGACGATGACACTAGTTTGGTTGATTTCTTCGGGGCTTAGAGCGTCCAATGGGTGAGATATGCACGTTCTAGCAAAGGCTGTCCAGATGACAAAGATGGTGGGAAAGGTTTGGAGTATTCCTAAGATTTGTATTGCCATCCTAGCTCAAAGTATTGTATTCTTAGTTACGATAATATATGACTATTTGAAATGAGGTTATTTTTCTGGACTTAGAAATCTTGTGATAATTTGGTTGGAAATGTTATGAATATATAGAAATATGAGCAATCTAATATACAAATGGACCTTAGATATAGGGTGCCGCAAAATGAACGTTAGAGACGATCAAATTCCTGGTCAAAAGGATAATAAGAAATTTCGAAGTAATCAGCTGTGTACTTTATGTATGTTGGGAGAATTTAAAGTTAATTAAAGTACGAAGTATGATTTATCAGTTGAATTGAGTACGTTTTACGGGTCATATTTGTGTCACGCGTGACATAAATACACATCACATTATTTTTTATTGTGACATAATTTATCTGGCTAAACAAGATTTGTAGGTTCGTGTGTTGTATTTTTTAAAAATATATCCCCGTGTCAGTGTCTACTTCTTGTGAATGATATTTTGTAATTTATTTCTCATTTACATATAATAATTTACTGCTTCAAAATATTTATCATACGGGGTAATAATTTTTATACCATAACAAATATTGCGAATTTCCCTAATGCCTTTGAACTATAGCTATTGTATTCTGAAATAATAAAGAAAAAACGTTAACATATGCAAGCCTACAGAAACGTAACTCAGGTATGAAGGAGAACCTCATGTTGCGCACAATACAATTCCAAAAAGAATATTTCAATTATTGACTCAAAGAGTTGTGTGTCCAAGTTTCCAACAAAACCATAAAAAAATTGAAATAGATTGTATATGGAATAAAATGAGTTTGCACCTCATTTTATTGTACAAATTAGAATTCGCACCCCATTTTAAAAGACTTTGTATTTGCACCCCAACCCTATATGAAAAGACAAAATGTCCTCGATCAAGAATATGTTGAAGGCGAACCGAATTGTTAATGGAGGGGCATTTTTGTCTTTTCATACGGAGTTGGGGGGTGTAAATGCAAAGTTTTTTAAAGGCTAAAGGATCAAATAGGCCCTTGAACTAGCTTAAAGTGTTCAATTAGCCCCTTATATAGGAGGTTCTGCCCGGCCGTCGCCAATTAGGGCGGTTCCCGGTGGAATTTTTTGAAGGATTTTTAGCATTTTCTTCATTAAGTCTAGTTTACCCATACCAAATTTCAGCTAACAATTCAACTGGGAAGGTAGTCAAATGATTTTTTGAAATAACTGCGCTGTTAAACAACAGAGTACATTTCGGAAAATCATTTGACTGCCTTCCTGGTTGAATTTTTAGCTGAAATTTGGTATGGGTAAACAAGACTTAATGAAGAATATGTTCAAAAAATTTCATCAAAAAATTCCACCGGAGACCGCCCCAATTGGCGACGGCCGGACAGAACCTCCTATATAAGGGACTAATTGAACACTTTAAGTTAGTTCAAGGGCCTATTTGACCCTTTAGCCTTTTTTTAAAAACGGATTCCAAAGTCTAATTTGGACGATAAAATGGGGTGCAAACTCAAATTATCCCATTATAAATTACTCTTCACTGATTAAAAATCCTACGTAGATGAATAGCTGATTACCAATTCAAGATTGATCAAGTGAATAAAAAATCAAAACGGAAGAGATGAGAGCAGTGAAGAAGTGAAGCGAGAAATTCTCGCCTGAAGGGGTGCATGGTGCAACGAAGATAGAAGAGAAGAAGACCGTAGGGCTACTTAAGGAACGAAAGATTATTATTTCGAGCCCGTTTGGTAGCCCGAAAATCGGCTGTTTTGGCTGATTCTGCTGAAATTTATGAACTTCTGTCTGAAGTGGCTGCTTTGGCTGTTTCTGCTGATTTAAGTAAAAATTATTTTTAAAATATATTTTATTAATAAAATAAAGAAAAAATTATATGTACAAATAGCTAAAATGGTCATCTACAGTAACTTCAGCCAATACAGCCAGAAAAGTAACTCTAACCTTACTTTTTCTGCTTATTACACAATTCAGCGCGCGAAAGTAAAAATTACGTGTTTGGTGAAAAAGTTAGCTGATAAGCCTGATAAGCCAAAAAAAGATGTTACCAAACGGCCTCTTCATCAGCTGAATTGAGGCACTAGCTTTGCTAATGTTTTAATTAAGCCATGTTTTTAACCTTCAACTCCATGTACCTTTTTCATCCAAACACTCCATACTTCCTCTATCCCTAAAAGAAGTTCCATTTCGCTTATCGAGGGTCAACTTAAATCACTCTTAAACTCTTACTTTTTATATCAAAATTTTATAAAAGTTGTATTATTTTTTGCAGACTTTCTAGCGGATTTAATGTAGTTTCTGAATGTGTAAATTTTATTTACTAAAAATAATCCGAGTTTTCACATGGATCATTTAACTTTATCGTCGGTCAACCTTCGTAGTCTGCAATTGGAACAACATTTAGGGACGGAGGGAGTAATTATATTAGCTGAAATTGAAAAAAATACAGCTGATTATGAGCTAAAATGAAGGGCAACCATAACAATAGCCAATCAAGGCCAAAAGTTCAAACCCATTGACCTCACTTGATCGAAAGGAGCTGTTTATTTCTAAACGGTATTTGGACATTAAATTCAACATACACATATGATATACGTAACGTACTGCGTAGTATTATGGGGACAACATTGTTAGGGTCGGCGTTGTCTATCGTGTAGATATATGGTGCAATTTAATGAACCTTAGAGGTGACTTAGGATGTTTTCTTTTGGATTGTTTTCAGTCCCAGACCAGACTTAAACAGACCAGACCAGACCAGACTTAAACAGACCAGACCAGACCATACCAGACTTAAACAGACCAGACCAGACCAGACTTCCGTAGTTATAAAATACACATCCTTAATACTGAAGCTATGTGGTGATCAGAGCCGGTTTTAGGAAGTTTCTACAAAACAACCTCTTTTGTGCGGCCCCAATTTTTTTTTAAAAATTATTAGTATCATATACTTTGCAGTAATATTAGATATTAGTAATAATAGAATGAATAAGAAAGAAAAATAGAGATTTATCATTCTTTTCGTCGGTCCTTTTGTCCCTTTTTACTCAAATTGCTCGAACAATGAGTTGTGTTGGTTTAAATCAAGTATTAAGAAACTTTTAGAATTATTTTATAACATTATTGAATGAGTATGATTTTTACATCAAACTTAAATAGATTAGACGAGACTAGACAGGCAAATTTCAGTCCGAGTAAAATCATCCTTAGTCCATATAAAAAAATACTACGTATTTATCTATTTATTTATTATTAAGAGAGAGCATGAAATATTACCACATGAGTTTTATTATAAGGAAAAAACTAATAATGTCATATACGATAGTATATGGGAAGATGAGTTGTTTAATTTTCATCAAATCTATGATAATTTTCTCTATAAACAACTTATTCTTCTTCACAATGGGACTAACTTTTTAAAATCCATACTAATAGTTTTTTATACTAATATACTAAAAATAACCCAATTTTAAAACTTCTTATTTTCATAATTAGCTAAAACAACTACGGAGTACTCCGTATTTCATGATACTAGTAGTTTATATTTTGAGCTTTGCTTTTAGTTTAAATTTACGTAATATCTTTAGGAATTGTTTCCCAACTCTAGCCCCTCCATTCCATTCGTCCTTTTGTTTTAGAAGTGCTTTAGAATATTTGTCAACGCTTAAGATGGTGAGAAAACTTTTGTACTCAAGTCTTCATTCAAAAAGAAAAGGTGTTATCTACTTTATGCATGCATTTACATGCTTTTTTCTTGTGTTTTGATGTAAAATCAACCAATGAGATTGACACTTTTGACGGAACAAAAGTGTGACAAATATGGAAGAATTATTAATGAGTTTAACACAATTGACTAGAGATGTCAACGCGGTGGATCGAGCTGAGGACGGTTATACATATTACCGTGTCCACCTTGATGGGTAACTTCTCCGTCCCGTAACCGTTTCATTACTCATGATCAATGGGTAAATTTTATTCAAATCATAACCGTCTAACGGGTAACTGATATAATCGTGGGTAAATGTTTTATTAAATGAGTCATTGATATTTTAATATAAAAATTAATATTTTAAAAGGCAAAAAAGGCATCGCCTAGATCACTCTAGATATCAGACGCCACTTAAAAGTTTTGTATATCTACAAGACGAGAAAGAAGGCAACCTCAACTAATTTGAACCTAATTAATATACTTAAACTGAAAATTAATTAATCACGAAACAAATATGATAATAATTAAACAAGACTATTAAAATATATTTTAAACTCTCACTCAAACACTTTATTTAGTAATAGAATTATTAATTAAGGATATTTATGTACTTTTACATTTAAAGTAACATGACGAGCCCGGCCTACAGGAACCAAGTAATTACACAAAGCAGAATTAGATTCATCGGGAGAACGTAATCAAGAGAGCTGGTGCAGATGGCTATGTGAACCGAGAGGGATAGGTAATTGCAGAATGACCTGCAGAAAAAAAATCTGACACACAACAGGAGGGGGAACTGACCCAAGAATACCCCCATCTGATGACGAGCCTGCAGGAACCAAGTTAATAGCACAAACAGGTAAAACATTGATATTTAAATGTGACACAGATGAATTACAAAATACAGTACCTGGAGTGCCACCCCCTGCCGAAGGACCTCCACCCGCGGCTGCATAAACCGGCAGCTGATCGTAGATCCCCGGCTAACCATACGGAGGGTACCAAGCTGCTGGCTGGCCGTAGAAGAGCTGCTGTTAGCCGCCACCCCGTTTCCCATGAAACTCACGACCATACCCACTGCCCACAATTCTACCTTGCCCCTTCTCTCCAGGCCGAACATACCCACTTCCCGACCACCATCTCTCATACCACCTGCTATCTCCTTATACGACCAGTCTGCTCAAACCTTGGCTGAAGCCTCTGCCCGAAGCTCGACACCCTCCTCGCCATCCACTCCCAGCACCCCAGTTTATAATTCCATTCACTCTAGCTCTTCTCCCCCAGCCGAGACCCTACCTTCCACAACCAGCTCTGTTGCACCACCTCCGGCTGTCAATGTGCATCCCATGCAAACCCGGACTAAATAGGGAATTTTTAAATAAAAAACCATTTTTAACTTAAGTACAGTTGTTAATCAGACATATCCTACTTGCTTTACCAAGGCTAATAAACAATTAAAATGGAGGGAAGCTATGGCTGATGAATTTTATTGCATTCATTAATAATAACACATGGGATATGGTGCCCTTTGACAATTCTAAGAAGATTGTTGGCTACACGTGGACTTATAAAACTAAGTATCATTCTGATGGGTCTGTTGAACGACATAAAGCTAGGTTAGTTGCTCAAGGATTTAATCAACATGCTGGTATTGATTTTTATGAAACTTTTAGTCCTGTTATTGAACCCACCACAGTTTGTATATATTGTTCTTACTCTTGCGCTCTCCTTTGGTTGGGGTATACGTCAGCTTGATGTTAAAAATGCTTTTCTGCGTGGTCATATTACTGAGGAAGTGTATATGCGTCAACCCGTGGTTTTGTTCATCCTTAACTTCCTAATCATATGTGTCGTTTGTGCAAGGCTATTTATGGCCTTAGGCAAGCACCACGGGCATGATTTCATAGGTTTAGCAGCTTTCTCCTACAACATCACTTTTGTTGTAGTAAGTCTGGTAACTCGCTTTTCATTTATCGCTATAATAATAATACTACCTCCGTCCCCCTAAGTTTGGGACAAGAGAAGGTGGCACCGTTATTAATAAAAGTGGGTTTATGTGGTTGATATTGAATTGATAAAGTAAGAATAAAGTAGAAATAATTTAGAACCACACAAACTTTACCAAATAAGCGCGCTATCGGACAAACTTAGTGGGATGAACCGAAATGGTAAAATGGGACAATCATAGCGGGACGGAGGGAGTATTATTTATTTATTTATTTTTATATGTAGATGATATTATTATTACTGGCCAGCCCAGCTGGTCGCCGACTCTCTCTCCCTTACGGGAGGTCTCGGGTTCGAAACTCAATGGAGTGAGTTTCAGCCTAGATTACTCCAGGCTCCCACCAGCCCCCCTTCCCCATGACGCATCCTGGAGTAAAAAAATGATATTATTATTACTGGTAATTCTGAGTCTGTCATTACCCAGTTTATCTCTATTATTTCTAATCATTTCGCTATGAAGGATTTGAGTTATTTAAATTATTTCTTAGGTGTTGAGTCGACTAGGTCTCCCAAAGGTCTGTTTCTCTCTCAAAACAAATATGTGTCTGATCTTCTAACCCGTTTTCATCTCCATACTGTTAAACCCGTTCACACTCCATTAGCATCTCACACCACTCTGTCTCTATATGATGGTGAGTTACTTGCGGATTCCACTTAGTATCGCAACATGGTAGCTAAGATGGTACAATATTTGGCTCCAAATTTCTCGCTTGAAAGGAAATCAAATATTATAAATCGTGACTAGAATGTTAACAAAGGAAACATATAAAGCAGTAATATATATATGTATTGCCAATTGGTCGCCGATTCACTTTCCCTTACGGGAGGTCTCGGGCCTTACAGGAGGTCTCAAGTTCGAAACTCAATGGAGTGAGTTTCAGCCTAGATTACTCCAGGCTCCCCCAGCCCCCCTCCCCCAGAAGCCCCTGGAGTAAAAAAACAGTAATATGTATTGCAAATCACAATTGGGAATAAACACGTTCTAAATTATATAGAATGGAAGGGCTTCTGGTTCAAAAGGTTAAAGTTGTTTGGGGACCATAAATGTAAAATGTTAACTTCACCAATTTGTCTCCTTTATTAATGCAAAACTAAAAATGGTTTCACTTTGTCACACTAAGGAGTAGGAAACTTGAATGGTATTATGGGAATGCAAAATGGGTCTTTACGTCGGGGTTTTTTCCTTTCGTTCAGATTAATTATGGTGTAAGTATATAATGCTAATGCTTGAAGTGTTTTTGAATTTTTTTATGCTCATAGTGCTAGTATTTTTCCATCATTTGTTTACCATTTGCAGTGATGGATAATTGTTTTATCTATGCAAGTGTTGTGTGGATGCTACACTGGGATTGAAAGACAATTAGCTAGAACATATATGGAAAGGGACAAATGTATAGAGAATGGATGATAAAAATGAAATTGTAGAAATTGTAGAAGCTATATGAAATGATTACACTGTTAGGATAAATATTGTATGATTGTACTTCTCTGAAATGTTCTATAATAGAAAAAATAACATATTGCCTAGGCCGACAATGTAGCTATTGTTCAAGGCACTTCTACAACCCTCCTGTCTTGACTCTTGATATTGCATCAATTTTTTATGGCTTTGATGTGGAATCTCACGCATCTACATTGCCAAAGAGAAATTTATCAGTAGGAGCGTGGATGCTAAGAACTAAGTTGAAAGTGGTGCCAAAACAAGATAATTATATTGTAATTCATTAGAGAATGATTTTTTTTTTTAATTTGACTAGGGAATAGAATATTTCAGATTAACAATCCAAAGGTTTAATTTAGAAAATTATGAAATATATTAATTAAAATAAAGAAAAGTGAAAGCTAGACTAACAAGTAAATCCGACCAACAAATTGCAAAAAAGAACAACTTGTTATGGAGTTGTAAACTTGTACTACGTAATAACAAAAATAACACTCATCTTTTAAGAAGTGACATGATTATTGTTGTTAACCTTGGTTACTGATTCAAATTGTAAAGGCTAATTCAATATAACAATGGGAAAATGGAAACTAATAATCCAACCTTTTAGCGGTCTTCTTTCAATAATCCCACCTTTTGATTATTCATGAATAATCCAACCTTTGCACCCCATCTTCATTCATTGGTCCCTGGTCGGTTAATGACCTACTATTCCAAGTTATTTTCTCATTTTTGCAAAATATTATCTTTGTGAAAGATGAGATTTATGGTATAATGATTTGCAAAGATAAGAAAATAGCTTGGAATAGCAGGTCATCAACCGGTCAGGGACCAGTGAATGAAAATGAGGCGCAAAGGTTGGATTATTCATGAATAACCAAAAGGTTGGATTATTGTAAGAAAACCGCTAAAATGTTGGATTATTAGTTTCCATTTTCCCTATAACAATTCATTTACATTTCAACAAACACCTTATAGGCATACAAAAAGAAATACATATTTTGAATTATAATTTTAATAATAAAAATAACAAATCCATATTCCCTATATCACAATTAATCTGTGTTTTCTATTAGTTCTTTCTCTTAAGCAGAAATTTGAACTATAAAATTTTATTTTATTAATTTAATGCCAATTAAATGAAAGTTAATAAAATTATTTGGAATGGGGAGTATATAATTCAAGAAATAAATGGAGATTACGTATTGATATTCATATAATTTCGGATTGCATGTTTGTATTTTTAACTAATTTTTATTAGTTCTAGTTGTGGAAATTACACACTTTTGGTGTAATATACATATAAATGTTGTATTGACATTTATTTTGAGTGCACACCACGACAAAATGCACGTCACGTATACCAACTATTAGTATACCAATTAAGAAATAAATGGAGATTACGTATAGAGGTATCAAAGACCACCACATTTGGCAGATGGAGATCATAGTTTTAAGCAAAAAACACTCCAAAGCTATTTTGTGGTGAATTTTACTCTTTTACATAAATGCGTGTTTTGCCCTTTTTTCGTATTTTCCTATTAAAAATATATACACCATATCCTTTTAGATAGTTAAACACTCAACTAGATTGTTTTTACTTGGACTATATATTTTCAGTCCCTAACCAGATCGGATCAAACTTAAGCAGAGCAGACCGGATCAGATTAGACCAGACTTCCTTAATTGTAAAATACACAGAGACCAGACATTTACCAAACGAGACCAGACGAGACTTAAACACACCAGACTTCCATTATTGTTAAATATGCAGAGACCAAACATTTACCAAACTAGACCATACGAGACTTAAACAGACCAAGCCAAATTAGCAAATTTTAATCAAAGTAAAAATATCCTTAAGCAAATCACCTAACACTTTGTGTTCAATCATTCGAGTCCCGCTCAGAGGCGGCTATAGGGCCATTTTGCCTAGGCAAATGCCTCTGGCCTCTCATTTTGGTGGGGCCTTATATTCTTGAAGTCCAATTAATACTACTCGGTTATATTTTTAATTCACTTGTATTAGTATAGGCATTTTCCAGTGTATTAGTGGACATGATACGGCACACGTTTTTATTCGACCAATGAGCAAATGTGTTATGTGGCCTCTTGGAGTAGTGCATCTTTTAAATAATTTCTCATTTGTCTCCTAGTAATTTCTCATTTTGTGATGTTTTAGGAAACGTTTACATTTAGTTCTACATTTGAGAAGCTGTTTATTTTAGAGACTAGAGTCCGTTTGGTGACTCGTTTTTCAACTTATCAGGCTTATCAGCTAACTTTTTAACCAAACACATTATATTTGATTTCGCGCCCTTAATTGTATGACAATAAAGAAAGGTGTGGTTGAAGTTACTTTTCTAATTGTATTGGCTGAAGTTATTGTAGATGCCCATTTTAGCTATTTTTATATAATTCTCTTCATTTTATTAATAAAACAAATTTTGATTTTTTTACTTCATAAATCAGCAGAATCAACCAATACATCCACTTCAGTCAAAACTTCATAAATTTCAGAAGAATCAACCAATTCAATCGATTTCAGTGTTAGCAAATCATTGGCCGTGTCTAGAGATAAGTAGGCCTGAGGCAAAAAGTTAAATGAGGCCTTTTTTGGGGATTTCAAATGTCAAAGAAATTTATTTATTTTCACTAGGAGGAAATTAAAGTCATCTACTTCTCTCACCTCATTGATAATATGAATATCATTAACTTGTGCATCTTGTTCTCCCTCAATTTCTAAGCTATTTTCAAGTGAGGTGGATGCACCAATTTGCTCATTACTAATGAAAAACTTATCCTATTCCGATGTACCAAAAAAAAAATGAAAAACTTATCAAGTGCCCCTTCTTGGGATTTAATTAGGGTTTGATTTTTTTTTTTAAATTTTTGATACCCACTTTCATATTTTTGATTGGACATGACAATAGTTTAAGTGAACAAAAATTGATAATGCAAACAATATAATGAATCAAGGAGTTAATAAAACAAAAAATAAACAAATAATGACTGGATTAGGAAATTAAAATACAGACCGGATTGATAGAACCTGATCAGAACTTTGATATATGAAAGCAATAGACAAATTCGGTGAAAAATGGGGTTGTAGCAATTTCAGGAAAGAAGCTTTGTGGCACCCGGCGGCAAGCACTCAAAGTCCATCTGAAGTCTGGAGAAGTGTGGTCTTGTATGCAAGAAAAGATTTGAGAGAGAAATAAGAGGATAAATTAATTACAAATGCATTAAATAAATAATTGGTATATACTACGTACAAGTATTTATTAAGATTGGGATGTCTTTGATAATTGGATGTATCCGTTGTGGTTTTTGTGGTTTGTAAACATGTTGACTTTTCAGTTTCTTTATACAGAGTAATTGATATGAGATATTTTAAAAAACAAATTGACCCTACTTAGAATAATACACAGGGACTATAAAATGGGGCCTTAATTTATTTGGGGGCCTGAGGCAGAGGTCTCACCAGCCTCAAAGGCACCACGGGCCTGAAATGTGCTTTATATATATATGAAATGTTGTAAATAGTAAAAAGTGATTTCATTTGAAAACTTAAATGATTTTGAATAAGTAAAAATCAGATTTTGATTAAAAATAAGTGTAATAGAAAAACGCCTTTTCCCTTAACTTTAACAATAGCTTTAAAATGTTCGATTTAAGCAAAATAATCTACTTGAAAATGTGTAACTTTGTTGGAACAAATTTTTTATGAAAATTTATCATAGGTATTCTTTTGGGGAAGAAAAATTCATAATTTCATACTAGTACTCCGTAATATATGTATGAAAACTGATATAAGTGCTAAATTCAGATAGATTTTTTCCCAATTTAAAAAAAAGATAGATTTTTTCCGTCAAAACAATCATGTGTGCCGCCTTGGGCCTCCAAATCTCTATAGACGCCCCTGGTCCCGCTCCCTTTATATTGTGACAACAAAAGAGGGTGGATTTTGCCGTTTGAACAGTATTAAATGAGTAAATGTGAAAAAGTAAGTAAGAATAAAAACCACACCAACATGATCAAATATGAGGTGAGACAAACTTTATAAAGAGACAATAAACACAAAGGCAATAATTAAGAGATACGGAGTATAATGAGACATATAGAGAGTATATTTATTTCTGGGACTGTGTTTGATAGGCAGAATTTAAGGGATTGATCTGACAAATGCATCTCATAAGAGTGAATGAGTACATATGTCGGACCATGCATATATACAGGGGTGGAGACAGGGAGGGGCTGGAGGGGGCCACGGCCTCTGCAAGAAAAAAATTCTTAAGTATATATTATGTATAAATACTTTTAATCTATAGAAAATATGTTGATATTTTAAACTTTGACCCCTGCAATGTAAAATTTTTAAAGACTGGCCCCTTCAACCATAGATTTCTGGCTCCGCCACTGCATATATATTATGCTTCTTGTGAATGCTACTACCATGATTCATAAAGTACATCATTTTCTAAGGAATGGGTTACTTTCAAAAAAGTTTGCCGGCCTTAGCTCAAACCCTACCGATACAATTGGCATCACCGGAAAATCTTCTTGGACTGGTACATGATGGAATCCCAAAGTGTACCACATCACAATATCTTTATTTTCAATTGGTCTATTCCTGCAAATAAAATACCAATCAAATAATTAAAGTTTTTAGTTAGCATAACCAACCTCGCTCAAAGCAAGTCAGTCAGTATGGTAGAGACTTAAACCTGAGAAATTGCTTAATTATATGAATAGTTCAACTTAATTACACTCATTTTAACGAGGTTATGTAGTGAAACTTTCAATTTTAGTTTTTTCGGATATGCCTGTTGTCAGATTTAATCGTGCAAAAAACAAATACTCCGTATGTCTATTTTAAAAACTTTTTCAGGTAACTTCTATTTTAAGAATTTCTTCAGGTAACCATAAAGTTAGTGTAAAGAACATTTTGGCTTAGAGGAAGCGGTCCAGCCCAGCTGGTCGCCGACTCACTCACCCTTGCGGGAGGTTTCGGGTTCGAAACTCAATAAATTGAGTTTCAGACCTGATTAATTTAGACCCACAGCCCCCTTGAGGGAAAACTCACCTTGAGTAAAAAAAAAACATTTTAGCTCAAATTTATGTGCTTTAAATATAACTTTTTCATAAATTACGAAGATATTAAAACATACTCCGTATATCTGTTTTAAAGCTTTTCTCTATGCATTGCTGGACTATATTCAAAGAGAATAAGAACAATGAACATATATTGCCACCAACATAAATAATTAAGTACTCCGTACTATACTATACCTTCGGCTCCAAGTAGCTAATCCATCATCTCCATGGCTTTGGATTGTATAAAGCCCGGCAGCCCACTTCTCGGACGCGTTATATCGAGTCACCCATACCTGATACTTAGTATAGGCTGCCCGAATCTGGGGATAATCTTTGTCGGAAAGCAAAGAATAAGCCGACGGTCCGGCAACCAGCTTGTAACCCACATGGTTCCCTAACTCCGTTTTCTTGTTCGGGTTAACAATCAGCAACTCGGCAGGCTCGGAATCGAGGCGAACCCGAGCCTGCGCTTCCCTCGGTACGGTCTCCTTGATCACTCTCCAGTAACTCTTCCTGGGCGACAACGTAGGATCAGTCACTGCCTCGGGCTTCATTTTGGCTTTAACAAATGAGTTGGAGTGGCCATCGATGTCTAAGTCAAGATAGTACGTGACGAAGTGATCATGGTTGCTTCCGACAGTGTAATTTGCAACTAAGGTTCCGTAAACATCCTCCTTCACCGTTTGACTTGTCGCGTATGGCACGCCCTTCAACTGAAGCACTCCAGATAGGCTTACCTGTTGCCGGGATTACACCATGTATATAACAAATTTAGCACCCTAGGATGTTTTTACTCCACTGAATTTTTTTGGTCTGGTCTGATCTGGTCTATTTTGGTCTAATCTGAACTGGTCTGATAATGTTTGGTCGTTTGTGCATATTTTATAACTATCTAAGTCTGGTCTGGTCTGATCTGCTCTAGTCTGGTCTGATCGATCTGGACTGGTCTGGTTTGGGGCTGAAAACGATTCAAGTAAAAACATCCTTATTAGTCTTTTTTTTATAAAATACGTCACTTTTGGTTAATACTAAGGAAGACAATTTTATCGGTTATCATACTCCGTATAATTTTTCTTTATTTCATTTATCAAATACACAATCATATTTTTCATATTGCAACACATTCAGCTAATTCAATCACTATAGTCAGAATTTCATAAATTTTAATCAACTGATTAAGTCAATTTCACTATCATCAAAAGGACTTTGAGATATTTTTCTTGGATTGTTTTAATTTAAATCTTAGAGCATACATAATGTACAGAGCACACTTAAAAATTATATCCAAATTATAACAAGAGATTAATAATTCTGTTTAATTTTATGCATGAACAGATGGCATCATATGAAAATTTATAAAATGTACTATTTAACTTGTATTCAATTAGGAAATTACTTTAAATAATATCAACTATCTTTTATGAACTAATAATAATACGTACTTTAGAAATAACTTTTAATAATATACCAACTATTTGAATATATATCAAAAGTGATATAAAAAATTTACTAAAAATTATCAACAACTAATATCAAAATATCAAATAAGTGACTATATTTCCATATATCATTTATTTGATGATTTAATATTAATTTTTGATGTCTTAAATGATCGAATTTCCATATTATTTTTATTCTGCATTCATATAGTTGGTATTATTAAAAGTTATTTTTAAAATACGTATAACTCTTGGTTTATGGAAGATAGTTGATATGGTTTAAAGTTGTTTTCCCAATCTAATGTGATATATATTTTAAAAAGTGGACCAAATTGGAAGAGTTAAAGAGTATTTTAAGAGAATTAGTGAAAATAAATAAAATCGTGCTGTTTTTTGTGCCATGATTTGTTCTTATTACCCCAATCTTTATGGATCCACTTTGTTTGAACTCCCAATCAAGTATGTAGTCGTAATTTCCAACAGTAGCCACCATTCTTGCAATAAGGTTCACTTCTTGTTGTCCATTTGTTACCTTCAAAACACAAAAACATATTCAGTTTATTTTCATTTCCACTTCTCTGAGGATTAATTCCCTACTATACCCGCACAGCCATGTGTATTATTAAGATAATATGCGTAGTAGCATATTCAAATCGCGTTTATAAAAATTTGTACTTCAACTATCGAAATGGCGGGTACGCTCTCTGTTGCTATGTCTATGTATTATTGTCACATTTATTTTTATGTTACATTTTTTTTCCTAGTACGACTTGATTAGGAGGTTGGTTTCGATTAGGATGATTGTACATATCAGTAGCCATATTTTTTTTCCTATTCTTTAGCGCACTAGTAGCTGGCAGATGAGAAATTCGAGCTGCGTCAATTGTATATAGACCGTAGGCCTCATCTGTGAGATAACAACAATCAATACAAAAATATTATATTCTTCTGCTTGTTTTTCTATATGGTATCAGAGCACTTACGAACTGGGCTGCTCTATCACGAAACAAAATAGCATCATCATGGCCGAAAACTTTGAGGAAGATGCTATTGTACGTAGAGTGCAAAATACTCCCATGCACAAGCCCAACCTCACGGACGAACAGTGGCGAAATTTCCTAAGGATGCTGGACGAGAGTACACAATCTAATACTCAATGGCTCCTGGACTCCGGGGCATCATACCACATGACCGGAGATGATACGGTTTTGACGAAGACATGCAAGATGAATCCTATTTCGGTCCAATTACCTAATGGTGAAGTAACCCGAGCGACACATGTTGGTGACGTGCAGATCAGTTCACGATTAAAATTGGAGAAAGTGTTGCTAGTACCTGGATTGCAATGCAATCTTATTTCGTTAGCACAATTAATTGATCAACGAAAATGTGATATATTTTTTACTAATGATATATGTGTGATACAGGACCTACTTACGAGCATACCGATTGGAGTGGGTGATCGACGAGGGGGAGTTTATTTTTTTCGGAGTCTTGATCAACCTCAAGCACATGCGGTGGTGGTGCCAGACTCAGGTGAACTGTGGCATTCTCGATTGGGACATCCATCAGTGAAGGTTTTGCGTTTGGTTAATATTTTGAATAAGGCATCGTTGAAATCCGTTCAGAATGATACTTGTGATGCTTGTTTACGTGGAAAACAAACCCGTGATGTTTTTAATATTAGTCTTGCACGTGCTGTTGAACCTTTTGAATTGATACATTGTGATGTTTGGGGTCCATATAGAACGCCGGCCACAGGCGGTTCACGTTATTTCTTGACTATAGTTGATGATTATTCCCGAGCAGTGTGGGTACATCTGATGAGGGAGAAAAGTGAGGTCAAAAATATTCTTAAGCAATTTTTTGCTATGACGTCTAGACAATTTAATAAACCCGTGAAAGTTTTCAGAAGTGACAACGGCAAAGAGTTCATTGGTTTGCAAGAATATTTTTTGACTCATGGAATAATTTTTCAAACGTCGTGTGTTTATACTCCACAACAAAATGGTAGGGCTGAGCGGAAGCATAGGCATATACTTGAGGTAGCACGAACTCTCAGATTTCATGCAAATTTGCCTATTGAATTTTGGGGTGAATGTGTGTTAGCGGCTGGATATTTGATTAATAGATTGCCGTCTCCTGTGATAGAAAATAAGAGTCCGTACGAAATGTTGTATAAAAAACCTCCTTTATATACTCATCTTAGGGTATTTGGGTGTTTATGTTATGCACATTCTAAGGAGACAACAGGTGACAAATTTGCACAACGTGGAATAAAGTGTGTATTTTTGGGATATGCTTACACACAAAAGGGTTGGAAAGTATATGACTTAGAAAAACAACGACATTTTATTTCTCGTGATGTGAAATTTATTGAAACCATTTTTCCGTTCAAAATGGTGGAAAATAATACTGGCAGCACGATTAATTACGACCGAGAAGCTAAGTCTGGAGAAAAGGTACAGGAGTTGGACCATTATGTGCACACTTTGGATGATCCACCTTCCTATCCAGCCACGTGTGAGGACATTATCCTCACACCATCTCAAGCATCTGGAGACACGTTACACATGCATACGGATAATCATGCATCACCATCATCCCAGTTGGATACGCATGACACGGGACCAATTGACAGCATCTCAACCCCTTCACCTGGAGACAACCCCAGTCGACGCGGGACACGGCAACGGAAACCACCAACCTGGCATCGAGACTATGACGTGCAGTTGAACACTGTGAAAATAAACTCCTCTCCTGTCGTTAACTCACACCCGTCGGTTGAATCAGGTACTCCTTATTCCATATCTCATTATGTAAATTATAAACATTTTTCGGTTGGGCATCGTGCTTTTCTTGCAGCTATATCAGCAGCCAAAGAACCGTCCACTTTTAGTGAAGCTTCCCGAGATCCACAGTGGAGAGAAGCTATGAGCCGTGAAATTGCAGCTCTCGAACGATCAGGTACCTGGCGCATTCAAGACCTGCCGAGTGGGAAGAAGGCCATTTTTTGCAAATGGGTGTACAAAATTAAATACAAAAGTGATGGCTCAGTGGAACGCTACAAAGCACGGTTGGTCGTTTGTGGTAATAGACAAGTGCAAGGCATTGATTATAGTGAGACATTTGCTCCAGTTGCTAAAATGGTAACTGTTCGTACCATTTTAGCGGTAGCCGCTTCTCGTCACTGGGAGCTTCATCAAATGGACGTGGATAATGCATTTCTTCATGGGGATTTGCATGAGGAAGTATACATGCACTTGCCTCCCGGATACTCCGCCTCCTCCCCCGGCAAGGTATGTAGATTGCTTAGATCACTATATGGCCTACGGCAGGCTCCCCGTTGTTGGTTTTCTAAGCTCACTGGTTCTTTGCGTGCTTATGGTTTTTGTCAGTCACACGCCGATTATTCTTTATTTACCCTACGACGAGATGATCGGATTCTGTGTGTTTTAATTTATGTTGATGATCTACTTATCACCGGCAATGATCATGATATGATTGTCGCATTTAAGAGCTTCTTAGCTGCTTCTTTTCCAGTCAAAGATTTGGGCAAAATGAAGTATTTTTTGGGAATTGAAGTAGCGCGCAATTCTACTGGGATATTCTTGTGTCAACGCAAATATGTGTTGGATATTTTGGCCGAAACAGGTTTGACCGGGGCTCGGCCTGTCTCCTTTCCTATGGTGCAGAACCATAAATTACAATCAGATACTGGGCCTAATTTTTCTGATCCAGACCGCTATAGGCGGTTAGTTGGGAAGTTGATTTATCTTACCTTGACTAGGCCAGACATTTGTTATTCCGTTCATATTCTATCTCAGTTTATGCAATGTCCAAAAGTGGCACATTGGGAGGCTGTTTTACGTGTTCTCCGCTATCTAAAGAGCCACCCTGGTCAGGGCATCTTATTACGGTCCGATTCACCCCTCACTCTAACCGGTTTTTGTGATGCTGATTGGGCTAGTTGTCCCGTCACACGTCGTTCTGTGACTGGCTATTTTGTTTCTCTTGGACAGTCGCCTATATCCTGGCGAACCAAGAAACAAGCCACCATTTCTCGTTCTTCAGCAGAGGCTGAGTATCGTTCCATGGCTGCCTTAACTTGCGAACTCATCTGGCTACGCAACTTGCTTCGGTGTTTGGGGGTAGTGCATCCTTCACCAGTACAACTTTATTGTGATAATCAAGCCGCTTTGCATATTGCTTCCAATCCGGTGTATCACGAGCGGACCAAGCACATAGAACTCGATTGTCACTTCATTCGGGACCATATACAGGCCGGAACTATCTCTCCATCCTATACATCCACTTCTGAACAACCTGCGGATATGCTCACTAAAGCTCTTGGTGCATCTCAATTTTCTTATTTGCTTGCCAAGATGGGCATTTGTGATCCCCATGCTCCATCTTGAGGGGGGGTGTTGCTATGTCTATGTATTATTGTCACATTTATTTTTATGTTACATTTTTTTTCCTAGTACGACTTGATTAGGAGGTTGGTTTCGATTAGGATGATTGTACATAGGGGTGAACAAAAAAACCGAAAAACCGAAACCGACCGACAAACCGACCGAAACCGAACCGACCAAAACCGAAACCGACTCAAACCGAAACCGACTCAAACCGATTAAACATTGGCGGTTCGGTTTACGGTTTCACCTTTGGGGTTAAAAAACCGACCGAACCGAAACCGACCGACAAAAACCGACAAAAACATGCTAAAACTAACCGAAACCGACACGAACCGACCGATATTAACCGAACCGAAACCGAACCGAAACCGACTCAAGTAGTGCGGTTCGGTTTACGGTTTCAGCTTTTCGGGGAAAAAACCGACCAAACCGAACCGACCAAACCGAAAACCGACCAAACCGAACCGACGAACACCCCTAATTGTACATATCAGTAGCCATATTTTTTTTCCTATTCTTTAGCGCACTAGTAGCTGGCAGATGAGAAATTCGAGCTGCGTCAATTGTATATAGACCGTAGGCCTCATCTGTGAGATAACAACAATCAATACAAAAATATTATATTCTTCTGCTTGTTTTTCTATACTCTCTAAATTGTTTTTTTTTTTGAACAATTCTCTAAATTGTTCTGTAGTCCCCTATTTTATACGCAGTAATTTATAATTTTTTGGAAATTATAAGGCTTACATTGGAGTTTAGTCACGCCATTTCCCCTCCAATAATACTTCTTCTAGACAACATATGTACTTCACATATTCTATTTACATTGTTTTAAAAGGTTGAATTCCTAACCCCCGAGGGCTCGCACACTCCGATCCGATAAAGCATATGAGATTAGTAATCATGACCATTCATCTAATTAATCATAAATCCTTTTTCTTGTAATGAGACGATAGCTAGATCAGTATTCGATATGCACAAAGAGCCTTTTTACTTCAAGTGGTTGCTCGTGTGCTGCCGCTTAGTGTTTATAACAATCAGTAAATTTTTAACTTCATAATCAAAATAAATAAGGCTAAAACTACTTTCCAATTAAATATGTACGCATAAAGTTGCTAAACAAGGAAATTTAGGTTTTGTTGTAATTTTTCGTGTATGTTAAAAGCAAATTAAAAAGTAATTTTTATATACTAGTAATTGATTAGTTAATTCAGCTATTTGAAGCAATTCAAATAACTTCGTCAATTTCACTAAATTGAGTATTACCAAATGTTTAGAAGTATTGTTCAATTTTAAAAGAACATTGAGAAAACATGTCATAATTTAATTTCATCTTTGAACAAAGTAAACTAAGGTTAATTACCTGGTTGGTTCCATCTCCATAGTTTGTGTGTCTCCAAGAAACTTGTCCCGTATAATGTTCAAAAATACAAATGGCATTTGGGATAGGAAATGCCTGACCGTCCACTCCGACGATGTAGCCGTCAATATACACGGCGTTAGCCGGACAGTCAAGAAGCGGAACAAGAGAGCTAGCCATCGCCCCAAACCCATATTCGCCCAAATGAAGAATTCAATTCATAGCTTCCATGAAGCTTCCTCCATGTGCAAGAATGACAAGGGGAGCTTCCTCAACCATCATTGAAGCTTCCTCATGTTCCATTGAAGCTTCCTCCTAACTTCAACACATCTTCCTCCCACCTTCATACTACCTTGTTTTGATACTATAAATAGAGAGCTTGGAGAGTCTTTCTATCATCAAGCAATTTAGATCATAGATTAGAATACCACAACCAAGTTTGAGTTGTGAATATCCTTGAGAGATATGTGAGGTGTTTTGAGAGTTTTTAGTTAGAGCTTGTATGTCTCTTCTTTCTATTCTTGAAAGTAATAGAAGTGTTTTTCTCTCATATTAGCACGATCCTGTTATTCCCAACAAGTGGTATCAGAGCCTGGTTGAGCTTTTGATATTTTTCCCAGATTTTTTTCAGATAAAATTCTACTGTCTGAAAAATCGAGTTTTTCAGTATTGCTCTGAATTGCAATCTGAATATACCGTTGGATTCGTCTCGCCGAGACGAGAAAACTGGTATTTTTGGGGATTTTTTTGGCCACCGGAAGCTGCCGTACGCGCCGCCAAACGCCGGCCAAAAACTGTCTGCGTCATGCTGACATCATCACGCGCAGACAGAGGTTGAAGACAGCTGACGTCATCGCTGACGTCATCAGCCAGCCAGAGCTGCGTCAGCGACACGTCAGCGCCACATGTGCAGTCCCAGCACAGTCAGCCGCCACGTCACAAGTCAACTGCCAACTTTCACCAACGCCCAGTCAGCTGCCACGTCATCACCCAGTCACCGCCACGTCACTGCCACGTCATCTGCCACATCATCTGCCACGTCACCGGTCAGTTTGTAATTTTGAAAATTTGCAGTTTGGTCCCTCAATTTTTGGAAAATTATAATTTACACCTATAATTTTCCGAAAATTGTATTTTGACCCCGAAAGTGCGTACCCACCACTTTCGGCCGTTCCGGACGCAACGGTGCTGCCCGTTTTTCGAAATTCGGCTCCGATTTTTCTGAAACAGAAAATCAAAATTATTTAGAAGGTGAAAATGACCTTTGACGAGTCAACTTCATCTTCTGGAGCTATGATTATGCTCACGGCTACCAACTACACGCTATGGAAACCTCGGATGGAAGATTTCCTTAGTTGTAAAGACCTTTTTGATCCAATAGAGATGAAAGGTATTAATTCTGATTCGGCCAAGTCAACGGAGTGGAAGAAAATTAATAGAAAAACTATTGGTCAAATCCGACAATGGATTGACCATAGTGTCTTCCACCATGTTGCACAAGAAACCGATGTTCATGCCCTTTGGAAAAAGTTAGAAGATATGTACCAGGCCAAGACTGCTAGGAACAAGGCCCTACTGATGAGGCGTCTTGTCAACATGAAGCTCAAAAGTGGAACTTCTGTTGCCGAACATACTAGTCAATTTCAGAGTCTGGTAAATCAACTATCTTGTGTAGAAATGCCACTTGGAGATGAAATGCAATCTCTACTGCTTCTTAGTTCCCTTCCTGATAGTTGGGAGACACTAGTTGTTACTCTCAGCAACTCAGCCCCAGATGGCAAACTTACCATGTCTGTGGTCAAGGATGCACTGTTCAATGAGGAGGCAAGAAGGAAAGACATGAGCACAGATGAGACTCATGCCCTTGTGACAGAGAATAGAGGAAGATCACAAGGAAAACAACAAAGAAACAGTAGAGGGAAATGGCAAAGCAGGGGCAAAAGTCGGGGGAGATCATCAGATGGCCGAAAACCTTCTTATACCTGCCACCATTGCGGTATAGAGGGTCACATGAAGAAGAATTGCTACAAATTGCTAGAGGAGCGAGGCAAGAGCAATTCTCAAGCGAAGAGCAAGGGTGGTGAAGCGCTCATCACAATCTCAGGTGATGTGGCGTATTGTACTATCAATGATGAAACATGCCTTCACGTCTCAAGAGAGGACACTGAATGGGTGGTAGATACTGCAGCATCCTACCATGTTACTCCCCACAGGTACTACTTCACAACTTACAAAGCTGGAGACTTTGGAGCAGTGAAGATGGGCAATTCCAGTTCATCTGAAATAGCTGGAATTGGTGATGTACAAATAAAGACGAGTTCTGGGAGCACAATCACTTTGAAGGATGTCAGACATGTTCCAGACCTTCGTCTCAATCTCCTGTCAGTGGTATGTCTTGACGAACAGGGATATGAAAACCACTTCAACAGAGGCACCTGGAAAATGTCAAAGGGCGTTTTGAAAATCGCTCGAGGACATGTTTGTGGCACATTGTACAAAACTCATTTGAGGATTTGTACGGATAGCCTCAATATTGCTGAGGAGACTACTCAGAATCTGTGGCATCTGAGGCTCGGCCACATCGGTGAGAAAGGGCTGACTACCTTGATCAAGAAGAACCTTATCAACATCGACAAGAATGCTGCACTGGGTCCTTGTAGTCATTGTCTGTTTGGTAAGCATCATAGAGTATCATTTAGTTCTACTTCAGCTAAAAGATCAGAGTTGTTAAGTTTGGTACACTCCGACGTCTGTGGTCCTTTCGAGGTGGAATCAATCGGTGGAAGCAGATATTTTCTGACTTTTATTGATGATGCTTCTCGGAAAGTGTGGGTGTATTTCCTGATTACGAAAGATCAGGTATTTGAGTGCTTCAAGACATTTCACGTCTTGGTGGAACGTGAAACGGGAAAGAAGCTGAAATGTCTCTGATCTGATAATGGAGGCGAGTATACTTCTAAGGCGTTCGATGCATATTGTAGAGAATATGGCATTCGACATGAGAAGACAGTACCATGCACCCCTCAGCACAACGGCGTTGCTGAAAGAATGAACCGGACTATCATGGAGCGTGTCCGGAGCATGCTGAATATGGCTAAGCTTCCGAAGCCATTCTGGGCAGAAGCAGTCAACACCGCATGCTACCTTATCAACCGATCACCTTCGGTACCACTGAACTTTGAAGTTCCAGAGAGGTTATGGACAGGTAAGGATCCTACATACTCACATCTTAGAGTATTTGGTTGTTCATCATATGCACATGTATCCAAAGAGCTCAGGCAGAAGCTCGATGCAAGAACTATCCCATGCATTTTCGTTGGCTACGGAAATGAAGAGTTTGGATACAGGTTATGGGATCCTAAGGAGAAAAAGGTGTTCAGAAGTAGGGACGTTGTGTTCCACGAAGATTTGACAATAGAAGACATTGAAAAACCCACAATGTCTCGGAAGTCAAATGAGGGTGCTCAAGTTTCAAATGAAGCACCAGAAGAGGACGAAGTGCATGAAGATAACTCAGAAGCAGAAGAACACGAGGAGACAGAAGAGAGTGCAGGGCAAGGGGAGACACAATCCACCCTGCCAGACACAGATGATGGTAGCTCTTCTCAGATGGTTCCTACTGTTCGTAGATCTGAACGAGGGCATATACCATCGACAAGGTACACATCATCTGAATATCTTTTCTTAACTGAAGATGGAGAACCAGAGAGTTTTCAAGAAGCTGTATCTCATAAGGATAAAGAAAAATGGCTAATAGCAATGCAGGATGAGTTAGAATCTCTGCAGAAAAATCAAACTTATGAGATCGTAGAACTTCCTAAAGGGAGGAAGGCACTGAGGAACAAATGGGTGTTCAAGCTGAAGAAGGATGCAAACGGACAAGTGGTGAAACACAAAGCTCGGTTGGTTGTCAAAGGTTTCCAGCAGAAGAAAGGAATTGACTTTGATGAGATCTTTGCACCAGTTGTCAAGATGACCTCAATCCGAGTTATACTTGGCTTAGCAGCAAGTATGAACTTGGAGCTTGAACAAATGGATGTGAAGACAGCATTTCTTCACGGAGATTTGAAAGAAGAAATCTATATGCAGCAGCCGGAAGGTTTTGAGAACTCAAATGATAATTTTGTGTGTAAATTATCTAAGAGTTTGTATGGCTTGAAGCAGGCACCAAGGCAGTGGAATAAGAAGTTTGACTCATGCATGAAGAGTCAAGGCTACAAGAAGACTACTGCGGATGAGTGTGTATACATCAAGAAACTTCCAGACGGTACTTTCATTGTTCTTCTACTATATGTAGACGACATGTTGATCGTTGGGAAAGATGCAGTGAAGATAAACCAGCTGAAGAAAGAACTCTCTAAGTCTTTTGATATGAAAGACTTAGGACCGGCTCAACAGATTCTTGGGATGCAGATCACTCGAGACAGGAAGAATCGCAAGTTATGGCTATCTCAAGAGAAGTACATTGAACAAGTACTTGAGAGATTCAACATGAATGATGCCAAGCCAGTAAGTGTTCCACTTGCGAATCACTTCAAGTTGAGCAAAAGAACATGCCCTACATCCAAGGAAGAGATCGGGGAGATGTCAGCAGTTCCATATTCTTCAGCAGTTGGGAGTTTGATGTACGCCATGGTATGCACAAGGCCAGACATCGCACAGGCAGTGGGTACAGTGAGTCGTTTTCTCTCTAACCCCGGGAAGGAGCATTGGGAGGCAGTCAAATGGATTCTCAGGTACTTGAAAGGTACCATGAAGTTATGTCTTTGTTACGGAGGAGCTGACCCAGTCTTGGAAGGCTACACAGATGCTGATATGGCTAGAGACACTGATAGTAGAAAGTCTACTTCAGGATATATCTACACTTTTGCAGGGGGAGCCGTTTCTTGGCAATCAAGATTGCAGAAGTGTGTTGCTTTATCTACAACAGAAGCAGAATACATTGCTGCCGCTGAAGCAGGTAAGGAAATGTTGTGGCTAAAGCGTTTTCTCCAAGAACTTGAGATCCAGCAGAAAGAGTACAAAGTACATTGTGACAGTCAGAGTGCTCTAGACTTGAGCAAGAACTCTATGTACCATTCTCGTACAAAGCATATTGACATTCGGTATCACTGGATACGAGAGACGATTGATCAACAACTGTTGAGACTAGTGAAGATCAATACAAAGGAGAATCCATCAGACATGCTGACGAAGGTGGTGACACGGGATAAGCTAGAGCTGTGCAGAGACATAGTCGGGATGCTTGTTTTGAATATGCCTGGAAGGGGAGAATTGAAGAATTCAATTTCCAGGTCATATCCAAGTACAAGCAAATTGAAGAATCCAATTCATAGCTTCCATGAAGCTTCCTCCATGTGCAAGAATGACAAGGGGAGCTTCCTCAACCACCATTGAAGCTTCCTCATGTTCCATTGAAGAATTCAATTTCCAGGTCATATCCAAGTACAAGCAAATTGAAGAATCCAATTCATAGCTTCCATGAAGCTTCCTCCATGTGCAAGAATGACAAGGGGAGCTTCCTCAACCACCATTGAAGCTTCCTCATGTTCCATTGAAGCTTCCTCCTAGCTTCAACACATCTTCCTCCCACCTTCATACTACCTTGTTTTGGTACTATAAATAGAGAGCTTGGAGAGTCTTTCTATCATCAAGCAATTTAGATCATAGATTAGAATACCACAACCAACTTTGAGTTGTGAATATCCTTGAGAGATATGTGAGGTGTTTTGAGAGTTTTTAGTTAGAGCTTGTATGTCTCTTCTTTCTATTCTTGAAAGTAATAGAAGTGTTTTTCTCTCATATTAGCACGATCCTGTTATTCCCAACACCAAATCCATATACGTCTTGAAATACTGCTCAGGCGTGGGGTCCATGTACGGAACAAATGTCTCTGACACAAAACCTCTATAGAGCACACGCCTAAAGCGCTGTTTGGTTGTGTCGAATATAGAAGCTGTCGATATAACCAAGCCGGAACGGACGTTGAACGAAACATGGAATTCCCAGTTCTTCCAATTCACCACACTCCCATTTAAATGAATATTCGATTCGGTCCCATTACAGGTTATTAACGGCGAATCACGACCGTTTGCTGATTCCGAGTCTGTTGTTCCGCCTGTGAACAGAGGTGATATTCCCCGGTCTGTGTAACTAATCATCTTCGTCGAGTCGATGTCTACTAACGCTGTGATCCCTGCGATTGGATGACTCCAAAAATTTGAAGTTCCCTCCGATGAATAACAAGAACTCATTAGAACCCTTGTAGTTGTTTTCTCTCCATACCATCCTAATCAAATACGGAGTAATACATACATCAACAAAACAACAATTAATACTCAATATAATGTTTTGGTATCGTATACTACGTAATATTTATATTTGAGGATCCAACTGCATATACTACCTCTGAACCATAAATTCATCCACTTTTGGCATAATCTTTATCTTTATATAATATAAAGTAACAGTCGGGCTACAAATTTTTGGAGACAAAATTGCCGTCCAAAATAAGGGTAAAAAGGTAATTGAAGTTCCATTAAAAATGCACCGTATGTACTAAATATGTCAAACGTAAGGAATCAAATCTAAATCTAAATATTTCTATGATTTGTGTAGATCAAGATTACCGTATGTACTAAATATATTCCTTTAATAACTTCTGCATAAATAGAACATTAGTTGCACCAATTAAGAATTTGCATATAAAGTAACGTAAGCGCACCCATTAGACCATTTGGAGTAGTGAAGTATTAGGAGTCTAAAATGTTAAATATAGAACTTTTGGACTCCTAATTGTGTGTAGTGGTGGTTTAAAAGGGGTATTAAAAATGGAGAAGAGGATGGAGGGAGTTAAATATAGAGGGTGAGTTTAGAAGAGTGGAAAAAAGAAAAAATAAAGAAAAAAGAAAAAGAATGGCACAGGCTGCATGTTTTCTTTTGGTGAGGATGATGTCATGCAGGTGTCACCCTTGCATCATTATATCCCAATTTTTTTTAAACTTATATTACTTTTTTATTTGTCATCCAAATTTTTCAAAAAATATATCAAAATTCTTAAATTTTTATGATCTTTCATATGACATCCATATGTGATATATAAAATGAATTTTTTATTGAAATTTTAACTGTTGCGGTTTCTTGAGCTAAAAAACCAAACACAAATTTTTAATTCATGAAGTGTTCACAAATAACTGAATATTCTATAATTGAATTTCAATTAAAAAAATTCATTTTTTTAACCGAAAAATGTTTAAAAAAAGTTGTGGAAATTATTTATTTTTACATCGAAATGCATATTTTTTATTTCATAATTATTCAGGGGAAAAATTAAAAGTGAAACATTACTTATAATAATTTAATTAGTGTTTTACAAAATTCATATGTAAAACATATGCAAAGTGTATTTTATTGACGGTGCACGGGTGCAGGGAAAAATAGTATTGACGGTGTCTAAACACTATTTTCATATGGACGGAGTCCAAATTTAACAATTTGGACTCTTGACCACTACAAATGGTCTTAAGGATGTTTTCTTTTGGATTGTTTTCAGTCCCAGACCAGACCAGATTAGACCATATCAATGGAGACCATATCAGACCAGATCAGACTTCTGTAGTTATAAAATACACAGAGACCAGACATTTACCAGACCAGACCAAACCAGTTTAGACCAGACCAGACCAGCAAATTTCAAAAACATTATAAGAGTTTGCATACAGAGGTGTCCAAAAAGTATTTTAGACATATCTTTATACGGAGTATAATATACACAATATAAAGTAGTGGGGTTGTTATCGTTTTTTTAGGCAAAATTCCCAAATTTGGAGCAATTGTGTATAAAGAAATAGTATAAAAGCTAACGATTCTTGCCATAAATAATAGCTTAAGGATTTAGGATAAAAAGCCAATGATAAACGTAATTTATGATATAATCCCATATTATTGATTGATAAACATAATCTATACAAAAATGATACTTCACACTACGTATAATTTAATGATATATATCTTCTCATCATGTGATCCCGGCTGTATCTAAATTTGTTATAATTTAAATATGTAAGGAATAACAATAGTAATAATCATTTTTATTATTATTATAATCATTGTAGTAATAATTATTGTCTTTATATTATTATTATTATTATTATTATTATTATCATCTTTATACGAGTACTGTATAATATAAAGTAGCAAAGTTGATACAATTTTTGGAAGCAAAACTTCCGCCCAAATTTGGGGTAAGTGTGTGAAAATAAAGAGTATCAAAAATAACAATTCTTGCCTTAAATAATATCTTTAGAAATGGTAACCTAACTAATGACCAATATTATTGAATAATGATATGAGATTTATATATAAAACTGATGAATTATATCTTTGCATCTTGGATTTAGTTAAATGGGCAATAATTTAAATATGTAAATAATAATAGTAAAAATAATTTTTATCATGGTAGATTCTATGGTACCCATAAGGTATCATACCTTTGTCCACATGGACCAATGAGAATGTTACAGTTGAATTATTTAAATCTAAATTAAAAAAGATAAAGTGATGTCGTCCAATCAAATGGATGGTAGGTACGGTACCTCATTTTTTAAAAAGGTACCGGAGTTATCATCATGCAAGGTAACACTATAATAAAAGGTACCGGAGTTGTCACCTTTTATAAGCTCAAAAGTTATATTTTTGGACATATTTGTCGAGAACATGCTCACAAAATTTAATATAAAAAATAGGACTTGAAAGCATCTCAAATGAAAGAGACCTAAAATTGTAACTTTTAGTCATACCTCACATGGACATTCTCTATGTTTATATTATCTTTATCTTTATATAATATAAAGTAGCAAAGTTTGTAATTAATATTGCATAAAAACTGAATATATAAATTTGGACAGTGAACTAATAATTTGCATATGGCAAGATTAATATTAAACTATATTAATCTTCCGGTTTATAAACTTTCGTACCAAATGCTTTAAAGAAGAGAACTAAAACCAAACAAAGTCCTACAAATTTTCTGTTCGATTAGACTGAACCGTTTCACTCAACCCTAGAGAAAAGAATGTGGATTCTCAAAGAATCTTATTGAAATGAAATTTATGGAGAGAAAAGAGATTCAATTTACGATATGAGCATAAAATTGCACAATATATTATGGGTATTCGGTTGTTCTATTTAGTTGGTTTTTGTTTTATTAGTTCGTTTTTTAGTCGATCAGTTTTAGGAAAGGTGAAACCGAGAACAGGAGCGCGCAACTTGAGTCGATTTCAGCCGGTTGTATCACGTTCGAGCAATTTTGACATGTTTTGATCGGCTTTTGTACATCAGTTTCGCTTTCATTCAAGATGGTTTCGGTTGATTTTAGTTTTCAATCTTTTGAGAAACACCTACATTATACAGAGTATACATGATAATAATTATAGTAACAATAATTATATTATAATTATATAGAAATTTCATATCATGCCCTAGATGTCACCCGTGCAACGCACGGGTCATTAGTCTAGTTTTATTAAAAAGATATAGATTTTATACTTGCACTTTTTCCTAAAATATTATTAACGAAAAATCTATGGACAAAAATGTGACTATAAGTTACAATGGGTAAGTTTTATGGTCACTATGATGTAATATTTGAATACAATACAATTATATTCACTAAAATTATCAATGATATGTAAGGAAGGAGAAGAAGGTGAAATGTGTATTGTGTATTATGAATGAACATAATATTAGCAGGGGCGGCTTGAGCCTATTGGAGGCCCTAGACATCAAATACTCTTTCAAAAAAGACATGGAATACTTAGACAATGTTTGCAAACAATTAAAAAAACCGTTTCTTAGCTTTTGGCTTAAAAAAACTAAAAAAAGTGTTTTCAAGTAACAACTTTTGATTAAATTAAAACATTAAAAAATTAAACGCCAAAATCTGTTTTTTACTTTTTCTAGTACACAAAAAATACTATTTTACCAAACACTATCAACCTTTAATTTTTAAAAATCACATTTTTCTCAAAAACTAATTGGTCTTCTTTCAAGGGAGTAGAACTGTGTGCTGATTGGTCTTCACTGAAAATCTTGTGATTAATGAGCGTTGATGGAACTTATAAGTCCCGGCTGAAACGCGTTCAAGATGCAATTATGGGGCTTAGTGGTAGACTTAGAATTTTTCTAATGACCACCGACAAGGCTATAAGTATGTCCGATTTGTTTTCTAGCTAATCACTAAAAACAAACGTAATTATATTTAGGAAACCGGCCTGTGTGTTAGTAATATTCTGGAGAATCTTTCCTTTCTATCTACTACGTATTTATTACTCCAGTTTGTATACCATGCAACCGTCTCACCATAAGCATCATACTCCCACTCTCAAAACGATGTCACTAGTGCAAAATATGCATTCCATAACTGTCTTTTAATATGAGTTAATTTTCAACCGCTATGGTATATGAAAACGGGGTCAAATTTATAAATAATAAAAGCTTGAAGTTGATGATGGGGTTAAAATTATAAAATGTAAAAACTTATACATAACGGTTTTATGCTAAGCCATTATGGAAAGGAGAAACAGGGTAATATTCAAAATTTCTGTAAATTTTGATTGCGCATGGGGTCATTTTTTAAAAATTTTAAAAATGTTTTCTACGTCCGTTCCGTATTAACTCTTATCGAATGATAGATAAAGTTTTAAAACCAAAGCCTTCGTGCACTTTCCGAAAAAACTGAAAGAACTTTGTGGATCTGCCGCTCTGCCCATCATAGATGGCACATTGGCACCGTTTCGGCGCTCCGAGATAACCCGCCGCTTCCAGACGACGTACCTCTTCGCTGATTCACGACGGCATACTTCTCTGCGGATTCAAGAGGACGGACTTCTTTGCCGATTCAAGACGACAGACTTCTCTACCGATTCAAGATGACGAACTTCTCTGGCGATTCAAGACGACGGACTTCTCTGTCGATTAAAGACGATGTAACTCTCCGCCGCTCCAAGATGACCCACCCGTCCGCCACTTCGCCTCTCCTAGCTAGACGACTCACCACTCCGCCGCTCCTAGACGACGCACCTCTTCGGCGCTCCTAGACGACGCATACATTCCACTGCTCCTACCAAACACTGCTCCTCTATTGTTTTCCGTAGCTCGTTTGCTCGATCTCTATCCTCTGAGACATTTGGTACACCCTATCTAAGTAAAAATTCTTTTTTACAAACTCAATATTCATTTATTGCTACTACTGATGTTCTATTTATGTATATCTCTTGCTCATTAGTGCTATTCCATTTATTTGTGATTAAGCATCAAGAGTTTTATTTTTATATTTTAAGTTTTCTAATGTTTATAAAGTGTTTGTAAAAAGTCTCAATAAAATTTTCAAATGAGTGTGCTTATACAAGAGTGATGTCTAGAAAAATGTTTCTATCCCCTTCTATTTAGTATCACAAATTTAGCGGATTAAGTGTCTTAATCAGGTATGAGAATTTACCGAGTGTTTTTTCTTCATAAATTTCAGCTATTTCAGCTATTAGCAATTTGAGCCAAGTAATTTAACCTCTTACGAAATACGTAGTAGGCTTTAAGTTGGTGTTTGCCTATTCTGTGATTTACTTGGAGTCTAGGAGACTGATAACCAGATTAGGGGTCATTAGTCATACAACAAAATCCATTTTGTAAGATTTTGAGTGTTGCAACTTAATCAGTTACTTTGGTATACTAGATTTTTCTATTTCTTTCTGTGATGTGTTTTTTTGCTATGAACATTATGCTTATTGGGAGAGCAGTTAAGATGCAGTAAGTGTGACAACCACTATTCCACTATTGATCACCGTGCTGGGAGTTTGAGTCTAAATTGTTTGATATGGTAAGCAAATATGCTCAGGTTTTGCTACATTACATAAATTATTGTTGTTGTTGTTTGTCCGAAATGAATATGCTTAGGTAAGCAAATATGCTCAGGTTTTGCTACATTACATGATCAGTGTTGACTTTATCTTTCTTGTGTTTCTTAGATTTTTCAAGACGATATTAGTGCTTTCAAAGGGCACTTTGGATCCCTCATTGTTTTGGCTCTCAATCATGATGGAAAAAGGTGACATTGCACGAAGCATCTCTCTTAGCTAAATGT